TTAGCATATACAACAGTGCACCAGTAAGTGACTTCTTGTGTTACAAGAGAAAAGGTCAGTGTTGCAGCAATCCCCTGATACTTTGGTCAAAAGAAGTCAAAGATTATGTCAAACTCCATTTATTAAACTCCAAAACTTTGACATTGTTTTTCTTCAAATATCTAACTAATGGAAAGTGGGTTGACTAAGACTTTTCCCAGGACTAACGATTGAATTGACTATTAGGGGGCAGCCCTACAAACAACCAATTTTATTTTCCAGGTATGTGGACATAAGCTAGAAAATCCACAGTTAGCCATGAGGGGAGATGCCAAAATCTCAATTGTCTGATTGGTGACATTCCACATGAAAGGCTTGTTGCTGTTTGTCCAGAGGATGCGGAGACCCTCTCTATTTGCACTGCTGCTGCTAACAGCTTGTATGGAATCAGAGTTCTGATACATTATGACAACTTCCAGCCCCCAGTACTTATTGAGCAAGTGCAGCTGACTTATTCATTCCCAAAGTCATTCAGCGCGAGACACCCCAGGGTGCTCACATCCTCAGCTTAGTGTCAGTATCTCTCGACCTGATTTAGAAGTCCTGAATACCTATTTTGCATGATCCCCCTCTTCTATTTGTGTAAGATGATGTAAGATACAGGCCTTCTCTGGATGAAGCTTTGGCCGTCCTGTCTGATGAATCATCTCCTTATTCACTATGCTGTCTGCTTTCCAGCCTCAGGACTGACTGCATACACACATACCCAGACAACTAAAGATTTTTCTATTCGTCTAGTAGTCATTAGTTAATGCCACTAGTCCACTAGGAGTTGCACATTTATGATATTAATTACTTAAATATATATATTTTAACAGCCTCCTGTTAAATTCTACGCTGTTTCTTCATCATGCCTGAGTCAGAGTCCTGGTTGGAGCCACTGTAAATCCCCTAGCCTCTTTTTTAATCTCCGAGGCTGTGAACCCGGTTCCATTGCCTGCTCACCACGCTCCGGTTCTGGTGCTCATTCTCTTATGCTAGTTCCTATGTTAGTGGTGTAAAAAAAACTCTGGTCATCCTTTGTCCTCCCAGTCAGCTAATAGGACCACAACATCGCTAATGTCAGCAGTACTGTGTTACAATAGCAGAGGTCCATGAAGCAACAATCCCCTGATATTTTAATCCCAGTGACGAGGCGCAGCTCCCATAAATAACTGCAATTCTATTGCATATGAAAAAGCTTGCACAATTGTATATTTTTCTTCTCAACAAATAAAATGAAAATTCCAAATTCCTTTTCCTGTCCTTGGCTGTTAGCTCCAAGCTCCAAATATATAATGCTCACTAATTTCCTAAAACAGCTGCTCACAGTAGTTTTTATCAAACGTTACTCAAACAGGAGGAAAAAGTGCATTTGTTGGGGATTGTCAGTGACGGATGAATCCACATTTGGTGCTCTAGTGAGTATTCGGGCCTGCAGGACGGTATATGTGGGATTGAGTTCAAGTAAACTACAGTGTGTGTTTATGGTAATGAAGGAACAACAGTGTGGCTCACTGATGTGTTTAAAATAGTTTTTGGATGACAATGGAGATCTATTGTACAGAGGAAGAAGATATCAGACTTTGATACACACAGTACTTGTTAGTAGATACATTCATTGTTGGTTTGGGTCTGCAAATGGGATTTGTTGATTATAACTAACAAAGGCAAAAGAGCAAAAAAGCGCTGTTGTATTTGGTCAAATCTTTGATGGACCATTCATGTTAAAAGGCAAATTTCTATCTATAGTCCCATGGCAGTTGGATGTTGTTTTTTGCAAAGTGATGCAAAATAGTATCAATTTTTATTTTTGTTATATAAGTAGCAGTAAGGAAATTTTAATCTAAATTTCATTATACAACCCTGTAAATGACAAGATAACCATGAATACTTGCCTCTTCATTTAGTCCAGACATTGTTCAACCCTACTTCACATACTTTTCTGTGTTTAAAAAACAGATTGATCCTTGTTGTCCTTCGTTGAAGTTTAGTAAATTTGAAGCAGGATGTGAAAGAGCATATAACTTATTCAGGTTTGTGTGTGTGTGTCCACAGGCGGAACCCACTACATTTCCATTTCATCACAGACTCCATTGCTCAGCAGATCCTGTCCTCTCTGTTCCATACCTGGATGGTTCCTGCCGTCAGGGTTGACTTCTATGACGCAGATGAGCTGAAGGTGAAGAACACCAACTCCACTTTGCCTCACTAACTCCCAGCTTCTCTTAGAAAAACACTCACTTACTACTCTATAGTGCTTAATGATCTTACTGCCACCTTCTTTAATTATTTGGAGAAGTTATGAGGTCTGTAAACCATCTTTAAGGATGCTGTTATGTAATCAACACATTTTAAAAATTCAGTCAGTTTAACAGAAAATTAACCCAACGCTGCTTTGGTGTGGTGTTTCAGTCGGAGGTGTCCTGGATCCCCAACAAACATTACTCCGGGATCTATGGCCTGATGAAGCTGGTGCTCACTAAGACGCTGCCATCCGACCTGCAGAGAGTCATTGTCCTGGACACAGACATCACATTCGCCACAGACATTGCCGAACTCTGGGCTGTCTTCCACAAGTTCAAAGGTAACAAAGTTCCAAACTGCAATAAGAAATTGTGCTTTCTTTATTTGATTTAACTGTCAGTTGTTGACTGGATACAGAGGTTAATGCAACTAATAGGCTACTTCAGTATATATGTATATATGAATAATAATGCAGGTAAGAAGGTGGAGAAAAAAACAAAGTAGAAAATACAGCAAAGACAAAGACCCTGACTCATTAACTGGACCTCTTTGAATCTTAATTTAATATCCCCACTGGAGTAGAGAGTGAATACGTTAGCCTAATCTGCCTCACTCATTGATCCCTTATCTGACTGAGGTTTGAGAAAGTTACACTCTCTGGCCCAGACCACGGCTCTGAAATATCAGCAGCCTATCTGTGCTGTGTATTGATAAATCCATGGCGCTGTCGGTGGTTCTGAAGTAGCAGACAGATTTTTTAATTGTATTCTCTAAACTACATCTTATATAGCAGGTTACTAAAAAGAAAGCTTATTATTCTTTTATTTTAAAGGCCAACCAATGATTCTATTCATTTGTAAATATACACAATAGAATAATAAATATTATTGTTATTTGCAGCCTTGTAGCTTTGACTGATTGTGACAGCACTAAATAGTCAGAGTAAAGGTCTGTCATAGCAGACGTTTGTCCAGAGGCGGGCCTGTCGATCTTCTGCAATCTTTTCTCTCCCCACACGTCTTTCAACAATGGCTGATTCATCACTCGTGGAGAAAATCACCACCATGACTCAACATGTAGGACTGCTCTTGTTGGATCAATACGTGGTTGGGATCAGCTGGATAGAAGCTGTGCGTTACACAGGTGGTGTTCCTGTAAGAAGCCTGGAAGAGTAGTTCTCCATCTTGTAACGAACAGTGGTCTCTTTTCCACCAAATTAGTTCTGGTTCTTGAACTGGTTCCTTTCAAGATTCTTTTTTTTTTTAAACACTGCAGTGTGGTACGTAATTGAAGGTGGGTGTACATCGGTACATAAAAAAGGAAGCACATTTCAGGAAAAACTAATAAGACCCCTTGATTTGAATATATATATATATATACTTTAGCCCTTTTGAGGACCATGCTGCTGATTCGAATGGCTTATTCCCTGACATAATAGTTCTGTTCCACCACAATCGATTTGTGAAGTGATGAATTTCCGGTGTTGATTTGACTCAGTTTTGCCTCCTCTTTTTCTCAGCAAATGAGCAGAATTAGTTTTTACCAGGTTGTCGCTCCAGTGTGTTAGAGGACATTTGCATTAAGTTAAACTTTTCTAAAAGGACCAGTGTGTAGGATTAAGTGGCAACTAGCGGTGAGGTTGCTGATTACAACTCCTCTCCGCAAAACTTATCTAGAGCCATTGTTTGATTTGTCTGTTCTGGGCTACTGTAGAAACATGGTATTTCAACATGGTGGACGCAGAAGAGAACCCACTCCCTCTGTAGATAAAAAAGGCTCATTATAGGGCAGTTGACATATCCACTAGAGGTCACCAAAGCTTCACAGGGTTTTGCGAGGCCTTTTTAATGTTAAGAGGTATAAGAAAACTTTATACTACACATTAGGCCTATATCTCATCGTCCTGCATTATAAAAGTACACAGTTACACCAATCAATGAGCTAATAGAACAAGCATCAGGGAGAAGAAAATACTGACTTTGTCAAAAAATAAGCGTAGTAAATAAAATAAAATACATTTAAAAAAGGAAAAAACATAATACAGAGAATTGTATAAAAAGTTCCTAAAAACATCAGTAAAACTCACCTTTGATATAATATTCACAGGAAATAATCTGCTCGTTACCACTGTTATTGTTATGCATTGAATAAAATATGACATGCATAAAATATACCATCTTTTTAGGGGTATGCAGGTTAGTCAATTATAGAAAACCTTTTCCCTTAAGGAAACACTGTTCTAAGGTAACAAAAACAAAACAAAACAACTGTCACACAACTGTTTCCTGTAACCAACTGAGTGCTAGAAACTGTCTGAAAAAGTGCAATATGTCATTTCACCCTTCTCACTACACCTCCCAGTGTAGCTGATCAAAACAGCTATAAACCTTTTACCTTCCAACATGGTCAGACTACACATTGTGCCAACAACTGTCAGAGCATAACCCTGCCCTTACAAAACCCCGCCCGATTCTGCCATTGAAACTTAGACAATCAGACAAACACTTCTTCATAGTCAGACCATAATAGTACGAGAGAGGACGAGCAGGAAGTGTGGAGATAAGACAGAAAGTCCTGTCCTCGGAGGTAGGGAAAAGACCATAAAGCTTGAGAAAGGCACAAAATCAGGAGGAGGGAAGGAGGCGGTGGTGAGTCACTTAAAAGATTTATGGGTAGTGCTGTCCTATAGTGCAGCGCAGCTAGCAGGAGTTTGGATCAATCTTAATTAGCAGTTCACTCCAATGCAGCACCTCTGCCACCCACTCCCTTTGCTGTCCAGCCTGACTGAACTGTTTAGACCCATTATGTTTAAAGCATTACAACACTCCACTACGACACACTCAATAAATGTTACTCTCAGGCTTTAGCCTTCTTCAAATTACCAGCTGATATGCAAGCTTATAAAGATGGTTAAGAGAGCTGATGCACTGCCATGATTTAGTCAGCTCAGCTTTTATTTTATCTGGTCATAAATTTATCATGTAAGCCACCAGCATACAAGGGTGATAAGATGTTCATTTATTCAAAGAATTAAACGTATTGATACTGTTGTGGTTTCAATGCACCTCAATCGATGTCAATCTGACATAAACTTTTAGCTGTCTGACTATAGTG